ACTCCTGTCAGTCAGGTAGGATCTAAACCAGGATAAAACTGTGCCTTTGATACCAACCACCTGCTCCAGTCGTGACAACAAGATGTTGTGGTCCACAGTATCAAAGGCAGCAGAAAGGTCTAAAAGCACTAAAACAGCAGAGTTCAAAAAGTGTTCAATACAAAAACAACTGGACTTTATTTGTAACAGAAGACGTTTCGCTCCTCATCCGAGGAGCTTTCTCAATTCAAAGTTTTTTGAATTTTGAATTCATCATGTCCTGGATGACTGAGAATCTTCACCAGCATAAAACAGCAGAGCTTCCTGCATCAACAGTTAAAAGAAGGTCATTAAAAACTCTTAAAAGGGCTGTCTCTGTGCTATGGCCTGATTTAAAACCTGACTGGAATTTTTCACCAATGCTGTTGGCAGTTAAAAACCTCTTAAGTTGATTAAAAACAACTTTCTCCTAAATTTTAGACAGAAAAGGTAGTTTAGAAATAGGTCTGTAATTTAAGAGCAGTGTTGTGTCGAGGTTTTTCTTCTTTATGAGAGGCTGCACCACAGCATGTTTAAAAGTAGCTGGAACACAGCCTGATAACAGGGACATGTTAATTAGGACAAGAACTAATGGACCAAGAGTGTTAAAAACTTCTTTAAACAGGCGAGAAGGAACGCAGTCCAGAGGTGAATTAGAAGGCTGCATGTGGTCCATGATGTCCTATAAAACAACTAATGTCAACGGCTCAAACTGTTCAAAGGAGGCTGCGGATGGAGGAAGTGAGGAGGGGTCTGTGTAAAGTTGTGTTGAGGAGGGTCTCAGAGCAGAGATTTTATCTATAAAAAACTTAGAAAACTGTTCACACAGTGCAGGAGATTCTGCAACATGACCAGCATCATAAGGATTCACAACAGAGTTAAAAACATTAAAAAGAACCCGAGGTCTGTGACTGTTGTTTGAAACTACGTTAGATAAAAAAGCAGTCTTAGCAGCTTTAACAGCTCTCTGATAATTTGACAAGCTGTCTTTAAAGATGACCAGGGAAACCTGTAGTCTGTCTTTACTCCATTTCCTTTCTGCTTGTCTGCACTGGTGTCTGAGCGCGCGGGTGGATTCGCACAGCCACGGCTGACATGACTTCCTCTTTTTGGTTTTTAGAGGAGCAACAGAGTTCAGAATGTCAGTGCACACAGAACTAAAAAGATCAGTAAGCTCGTCCACGTTGGACGCAGAGCAGAACTGAGGGTTGCAGGAGACAGAGTCATTAAAGCCAGCGGAGAAGCGCAGCGCGGTGTTTGAATTAATTGCGCGTGCAGAACGCACAGATGATCCAGCCCATTCCTTCCTGCCAGAGACCACCGCAGTGAACATAACTGGTAGATGGTCTGATAAAAGAGCTCCACAGATTTCCACAGATTACACATTTATCCCATAAGACAGGACCAGATCCAGTGTGTGTCCTTTTTCATGAGTTGCACCTGTGACGGACTGTGTGAGATTAAAAGAGTCAATAATGTTCATAAAATCTCTGACCAGAGGTCCAGCCTCACAGCACACGTGCAAATTAAAATCGCCAATTATTAAAAAGCTGTCGTATCGTAGCATAAGTCCCGTCATAAAATCTGTAAAATCTTTAATAAAATCTTTGCTGTATTTCGGTGGCCGGTAGATTGTAGCGCAGAGTAAAAGAGGAGAGAAGTTTATCTCCACCATCTGAAGTTCAAAACTCTGGTAAAAATGAGTGGGGATCAGCCGACATTTAAAACTGGATTTAAAAACAGAGGCTAATCCACCTCCTTTACCGGTGGTCCGAGG